GCTTTGTGCTCCTGGCAAGGAGGGATGAAGGCATGACGCTGTACTCCCACAGTTTAATAAAATAATAAAACGCCATCTGTAAACATACCTATTTTTACACTTCGGAAAGAGAGAAAAGGCAGAGCTAGCATAAAAGCCGTGGGGAGGGTTGATTAATCACGCACACATTAAATAGGACACTCTGGAAGCTGCTGTTCGTTGTTACACAGAAATGAACCTATTAGCAGTGCACTTCTCTTCTGCACCAAACTTCGATGACTGCACTTCACCCGCGTTTTGAAATGTTCCTCATTCCCTGCTCCTGGAGAGAAGGAACGCATCAGTCGTGTACAGGTGGCGAGATGATCGTGGGTCTGGCGCACGGATTCTAAGTATACAGTGGTATGCAAAAGCTCTATCAAATTGCATGTTAACGCAAACTGTGCAGGATACAAACTTAAACATGACCTTTTTTCTTCACATTTGAATGCACAATCTTTCTATCAAATTTAACAAACCGAATGACACTTTTGCTCTATATAACTCTATATAAATCTGCAGCTTTCAATGTGGCACAGGAGCTGGACAGCAGCTCTCAGAGCTGTGAAACCTCTCGAATGCCCCAGGGCTGACTCACCCTCCGTGATGACCACTAGGTTGATGACCCCATGACCCTGCTGTCTGTCGGGGGGGTTGCGCACGAAGCAGTTGTAGATGCCTTCGTCGAAGGTCTGCACGTCGGAAATGGTCACCGACACGTCGTTCTTTTCCAGGTTCCCCGAGAACTTGACCCGGTCCTCAAACTGAGCCGTGGGCAGGGCGGTCATCTTGTGCTTGTAGGTCATAAACTGGCGCCGGGACAGAGAGGGAGAGGGGTGAGCCCAGGGCCACACTCGCCCCGAAACTGCGATCAGCTGTGAGCTGTTAACGCCCTGTGCCATCCGGCTGCAATGAGTGTGCAACAGTTCCACACAGAACGGCAAGAGGCATCGGCCAACTGAGTCTGTGCCAAAGTCATTGATGAATACGCCAGGCCCTGTGATTGAATTTCTACATCAAGAATGGCTAGATGGTTAGAGAATATGTAGGAGTTTGTGCATGCTCTGTTTTGTGCTTTGTGCTGAGTGGTGACTACATGCACTCCTCCTGTTCTCGTGCTATAGGGTTTTGTAGACGGAAGCATGGTTACTCACCATCTCCTCTGTGTCGTTGTATGTTGACTGGTACGTCCAGTTCATACCAAACTTGTTGTTGTCCACCTTGTAGCATGAGGTGAAGGCACAGCCCAGGCGGACTGTGGAGCCATTGAGGGCATTCAGCTTGTGGCTCACCATCACCTCCATCGAGCTCACCGGCGAGCCTGGAGGACAGAGCATGTGGAGGTGACTGACAAATCTGATTGCTACAGCGCAGCACCAAGCACACACAGGTCACTACAGTGCAGCGCCAGGGAGACCGAGCTGGTCACTATAGTGCAGCGCCAGGGAGACCGAGCTGGTCACTACAGTGCAGCGCCAGGGAGACCGAGCTGGTCACTACAGTGCAGCGCCAGGGAGACAGAGGTGAACTCAAGGAAACATTTTGGGATTTACAATACAAGATGCAAGAGCTTATATCACTCTGGACATTAGACGCAGGTATTTCAAGCTTGTCAGCATACACATTCCTTTTATGAAAATTTACCATGTTAAATTTGCCATAATAGTTCAGCACTTTTACTGTAATTTTAACTTTCTTTTGCTTCCTATGGTTTCAATATTCACACTGCATAAGGTACCATTTTTAAACAGTGTGCTACAGTAAAAAATTACCATAGTAAACCTTATTCCTTAGGTTAGCTTTCACAGATGTGGAGTGAAAATAAATATAACCCTTTGTTGTTCCTATCAGTACAAGATTGTGTAGCTCATATAACCCAGCATGGATTGTACTGCTGAGGAATGGGAGTCTTCTGTTTCCCTGTGGTCATTCCCAGCTCTCTGTGCTCCAGTGACTGTGCATCAGCAAGCATTGATGTGCTACACTGCGAGAGAGAGAGAGCTGACTGTTTAAATTCCCCTGTGCTGTCTGCCTGTGGGCGTGGTTTTTACCGCGGCACAGTTCCTGTGCTGCAGTTGGTTTGGAGTTTCTGGACAGAGTCCCAGTGCTGCTGCTGCAATTC